TTGGTCACCAAACAATGTTTGTTGATGTTTGGTCACCAAACATTTACCGTTTGGACAGGCCCGGCCTTTAATACATTCACATCCATTGTTCTTAGCTCGTCCACTCTATTAGAGCGTTTTCGCTCACGTGGCCAGCACCCATGCAAATTTATTGAAACAAAAGAAAGTGCTTACATAAGAAAACGGTTGAATTCCCACAGGACTGGTTTGGTACACCGTACACCGACATGGCCGCCGTTTCATTGTTTTGGAACACCAACATGGCTGCCGTGATGTCGTGTGAAAACGTTAAGCTTTAACCTCTTTGGTGATTTTATTCCCAAGTCTATTTTTCTTTTGCTCTTCATTTGAAGAGCATAAGCATTTGAAGGTCATTTTAAACAACGATTTCACAAATCGTCAAATAACTTCCAGTGCCAAATTATGAATTGTTTAGTTGAGTGAACAGGGTTTTGATAAAGGAAGAAAAAAATACTATTCGTAGAGAGAATCTTTCGAAGCTTGGATTCAAAAGTAACAATAACTAAAATTAGCAATAACTAAATTTGGAATACGTTTGATCAAACACAGATCAAACTATGGATACAAGCAGAAGCATATCACCTATCTAAGTGATATGCTTCTGATACAAGCCGCTGAGCAAGCGTGGGACGCATGCGCGCGCCAAACATGTTTGATAGATCTGTTTGATGCGGCTGTTTGCTGTAGTCANTTGGCCACTCACTTCAACATCAACATGTTTGGTCACCAAACAATGTTTGATGATGTTTGGTCACCAAACATTTACCGTTTGGACAGGCCCGGCCTTTATCGCTTAATGCATTCACGTCCATTGTGCATAGCTCATCCACTCTATTACAGCGTTTTCGCTCACGTGGCCAGCACCCATGTAAATTTATTGGAACAAAATAAAGTGTTTACATAAGAAAACAGTTGTATTCCCACAGGACTGGCTTGGTACTGACCGTACACCGACATGGCCGCCGTTTCATTGTTTTGGAACACCAACATGGCTGCCGTGACGTCGTGTGAAAACGCTAAGCTTTAACCTCTTTGGTGATTTTATTCCCAAGTCTATTTTTCTTTTGCTCTTCATTTGAAGAGGATAAGCATTTGAAGGTCATTTTAAACAACGATTTCACAAATCGTCAAATAATTTCCAGTGCCAAATTATGAATTGTTTAGTTGAGAGAACAGGGTTTTGATAAAGGAAGAAAAAAATACTACTCGTAGAGAGAATCTTTCGAAGCTTGGATTCAAAAGTAACATTAACTAAAATTAGCAATAACCAAAACCTAAATTTGGAATACATGTTTGATCAAACACAGATCAAACTATGGATACAAGCAGAAGCATATCACCTATTTAAGTGAGATGCTTCTGATACAAGCTGCTGAGAAAGCGTGGGACGCATGCGCGCGCCAAACATGTTTGATAGATCTGTTTGATGCGGCTGTTTGCTGTAGTCAGGAGATCACGTTGTTGAAAAATGTTTTTGATTGTTTACCGCTGACTCGTTTTCTTCTTTGGTTTGAGTCGCAAAAGTGGAAAAAATCAGGTCCCGTCCACACTATGCCTGAGTAATGTGAAACCGCAGCTTTATTACTATACACTAT